AAAACTAAGGTATTAACTTTAATATTATCTTAGTATAAAAATATAATTTAATACTTAGATTTTTATAGTTATAATACTATAATATATAAATTAACTAGAAAACTAGCTAAGTAAATTATAAAGATTACCCTTTAGATAATAAGTTTAATTTAAATAATAATAATATAAGATCTTAAACTTTAACTAATAAGAGCAGTAAAGATAGGCATAATAAAGTATTACCTATTTTAAAAGGAATATAATATAAGTACCTTAAAGGCAGAATAAAATGCATTAGATAAATAATAATAACTCTTAAAGGATAATTTAGATAATTAGACTAAGATATTAAATAGATAAAATAGATTACTATAAAGGAATTTAATAAATAACTTAAAAATATATTACCGGAGTATTATATTTATAAAAAACTATTTTAAGAAGAACTTAATATAAAGTTACCCTAATATATAGATTATAATATTAAAATTATACTAAAAGATAGAAAAAACCTAAAATTCTTTCCTATTTATAACCTATCTTAAGATAAGCTTAATATACTTAGAGAATAATTAAATAATATACTATAGAAAGGATATATTAGACTATTAAAATCCTTAGTAGGATACTTAGTTATATTTATACTAAAACCTAATTTTAATAAACTAAGACTTATAGTAGATTACTAATAACTTAATAAGATTATAAATAAAGATAAAATACTATTACTACTTATTACTAAACTTAAGGACTGCCTATTTAGTAAGAAATAGTTTATAGCACTTAATCTTAAATCTGCTTATAATCTTATTTAAATTAAAGAAGGCAATAAATAGAAGATAGCCTTTTAAATAAAATATAGACTATTTAAATACCTAGTTATGCCTTTTAAATTAATTAATATACTTATAGTATTTTAATATATAATTATAAATATACTTTAAAAATATCTTAATATCTTTATAGTTTACTACTTAAATAATATCCTTATCTTCTTTAATATAAAAGAAAAGTATATAAAATATATCTATAAGGTTCTTAAAGCACTATAAGATGCTAATATGCTTATTAAATCTACTAAAAGTTACTTCTATTAGTCTTAAGTAATATACTTAGGATATAAAATCTTATATAATAAAATCAGAATAGATAGATAAAAGATTATAGTAGTTACTAAATAGAAACTACTTATATTAGTAAAAGAAACCTAATCCTTCCTAGGATTTACTAACTATTACTAATAATTTATTAAAGGCTTTAGTAAAATTATTATCCCTTTTATAGAAATTACTAAAAAGGATAAATAATTCTAATAAAATAATAAGGCATAATAAGCTTTTAAATAGCTTAAGTTAGCTATTATAAATAAACCTGTTTTAGTTATATTTAATCCTAATTAGTAAGTTAAACTTAAGACTAATACTTCTAACTTTGCCTTAGGAGGATAAATAAGATAATAAGATAACTATAGTATATTATATCTTATTACTTTCTATTCTTATAAGATATATAGAGTAGAACTTAATTATCTTATTTATAATAAAGAATTCCTAGCTATTATTAACTGCTTTAAGGAGTTTAGATACTACCTTAGAGAAAGTAAGCACCTAATAAAAGTCTTTACTAATTATAAGAATATAGCTTACTTTATAATAATATAAGAACTAAATTAATAATAACTATGCTATATAGAATACTTATATAAATTTGATTTTACTATAGTATACTATAAAGGCATAGATAATAAATATGTAGATGCTATTAGTTAATAACCTAACTTTAATATAAAGACTATAAAAATAAAAAAACAACTCCTAGAATTTAACCTTAAAGAAAAATACTAGTTTACTTAACCTATTAAAATAATTATAAAAATAATAAAAAAAATAAAATTCCTATTAGATAAAGAATATAACTTCTTTTATAAATTTTATTTATATCTGCTATATAAATACTAAGGTATTAAGAAAACAGTAAAATAACTATAAGACTAAGGATATAAGTTTATAAAAAGAGATATAAAAGATATTATTAAATAATATAACCTCTATATAAGAATAAAAGCCTAGAGATATAAACTATACAGATAACTATAACCACTACTAGTAGTATAATAACCTTAGGACTTAATTATAATAGACTTTATTATAAAGTTATTCTTATTAGAAGAACCCTTAACCAGAATCTTCTATAATAATATTATAGTTATTATAGATTAACTTATAAAATTTTCCTACTATCTACCTTACAGAGAAGCAATAAACGCAGAAGAACTTTCTTATATTTTTTACTAATATATTATTAATATATATAGGTTACCTATAGAAATCCTTTTAGATAAAAGACCTATATTTATAGTAACATTTTAGCAATTACTTATGGCATAACTTAGATTAAATTACTAACTTATAATAGCATTTTAACTACAAGTCAATAAATAAACTAAATAAATAAATCAAGTACTTAAATAATACCTATAGTATTATATTAACTATAAATAAAATAATTAGGTTAAGAAACTACTAATAGCTTAACTTGCTTATAATATCGCTTATAATAAAAGTATAAAGCTTATACTAGCTTATACTAACTTTAGATTTATACTAAATACATACTATAATACACAATAAGAGAAATCAATTAACCTAGCCGCTATAATTAAAAGTAATAACCTTAAAAATCTATATAAAGAAATAAAAATAAAACTCGAATTTATTAAAAAACATATAAAAAACTACTATAATCTAAAATAATTAAAGGGACTAACCTTTTCGGAGAGAGATATAGTCTACCTAGCCATAAAAAATATTAAAACAGATTAACTAATATATAAATTAGACTATAAATTTATCAGACCTTATAAAGTACTATAGAAAATCTTAGAAAATAACTATAAACTAGACCTATTACTAAAAGTTAGGCTCTATTTAGTCTTTTATATTTTATTACTTAAATTAGTAGTAGATACTATATAAGTTAAAATAGGTAATAAACTATAATAAATTATAAGATTAGAAACCTATAAAGTAGAAGTAATTAGGAAAATAGATATAATTAATAGATAAAGAATATACCTAATTAAGTAGAAGAACTACCTAGAAAGTAAAAATATATAAGAACTACTAAAATACCTTATTAATACCTAGTAACTTCTAAAAAGTTTTTATTAATTATAATAAAAGAAGGGTTAAAGATAACAGACTAATTAATAAGATTAATTATACTAGCCTTAACTAACTTAACTATCTTATTAGAATTAGAAACTAAGTTCTCTGCCTTTTTATAATTATTTATTGCAGTAGAATTCTTTTTTAATACCTATAAACCCTTTGCCTAGATAAGGCGCTTCTAATAATAAAGATATATAAGCTTTAATAAATACTTATTTAATTATTTTTATAAGTTAATAAGCTCTTCCTTAGTAGCCTCCTTATTAGCCTTAATTTAGTTCTTCTCTTAAACTAAGTAATTAGCTAGAAAGAAAATTAATAAGATAAAAATACTTACCTAAAGAAGGTATAATAAACCTTTAGATAAAGAAATGCCCTTCCTGTTATAAGAATGGCCCTAATAAGTATACTTAGAATAATTCTTTTAACCTTCCTTTATTATATACCTCTTATAATTCTTAGTGCAAAAAGAATAAGGTATAATTTTATAACCTATAAATATAATAAGTTTTACTTAGGTAAGATAACACTAAGTTTTTAAAGAAGATATAATTAGTATATTAAGAGAAATAATTATAAGAATAAATTAGGATTTATATAAGGAGGAAATAATATACTTAGGGTAAGTAAGGTCTTAAGGGTAAGACTAGGAGAGAGGAGAGATTATATTATAATCCTAGTAGTTATATTATATATATCTTATATTTTTTACTAATTATATATAATTATTATAGACTAAGAGATTCTATTTATAACTGCTAAGATCTAGTTATAATAATTATTTTAAAAACACTAGTGATTCTTAGAATTACATAGTAACTACGCAGGTCACTCTATAACCACCTTAAGTATATAGACCATATTTATTATACTTCTATAGAACTTATCTTACTAGCTATTAATAAAACTTCTTTATATTAATTAAGCCTAATATGTATTAAATCTACTATTAAGAGATGTGATACTTTGATAAGCTTAGTTATATGCCCTATGCAATCTGCTAATAATAAACCCAAGCACGGCTTAGTTTAATATAGTTGGACTCTAACTGTTATAATAATATATAGCTATGGCCTTTTTAAGACTTAATTTTAGGTTATTTTAAAGGGCCTAAAAGGTAAGAATAATCTTAGCTTTATTTAAAGACTTTAGTATATTAGGTTATTAAGAAATATCTAATTAAAAAGTAATAATATAAGTTAAGGGATTTTTAGAGTACTTACTTATCTAAAGTACTTACTTATTATATATATTATATATATACTATATATATTTAAATATTTATATTAATAGTTATATTAATAAATTAATTAACTTATAAGATAATATATTATATACCCCTAACCTAAGTTCTATCTATTCTACTTAGATTTTATTATTAACATAACTAGAATCTAGTCTAAGACAACACTCTAATTAATAGCTACAGAGTAAGTATACTTATTATCATAAGAAACTTTCATCCTATTATACTTTCATTGCATTCATAACTCTTCTCCTTATCCAAAGTATTTGATATAGTGCTAGTGGCTCGGCAGCTATGTTGTTTGCTGCTTACAGAAGCCTTATCAAGAATCTGAGGTTAGCAGCTCGATCTGCACCCTGCATAGCCAGGAGCCGCTCCATATTTGTCACCATGTCTGGATAGATCGAGAGCCGATCAAGGTCACAGGCTCTGGCTGTGGAATTACACGCACTGTAAGCAACATATGATGTTCCGACCAGAAGCCAATGAATATAAAAGAAAGTCCAGCCAAATCTACACTGAGCATATAGAACACTTTTACAATTTGACATGTTCAATGACCACCACCAAGCTTACATAGCCCCGCCATATCCATTGTTTCAGGTTTATCCATCAGAGGTCGGAGAAGTTGACCTGCTATCCTGTTTGAAAACCCATTCCATCAAGGTCGCTAATGCAGTGTGGCAAATCGCATTATATGTTGCCTTGTTCTCATCAGTAGGTATGTCCTTGCCCGCGAGAAAGTCAGAGACGACCCCTTGGCCGTCGGCAGTCCAGAAATCCCTGACCATAGAAGCGCTCAGCCCATTACCATCGTCTAGGTACGGGGATTGAGGCTGCTCCGAGTCCGGGAAGACTGTGGACCAAATGCAACGCCAACGAGTTGCCTCGCCTAGATAATACCGATCCCTCTTGATCAATTTGGCTTTTTGACTTTCAGTGAGCCCGTCCAACTGCTCTTTGGTGTTCCTTTTGCAAGCGTTCTCCAAGGCGTGATCGTCTCGGTCAATGAGTGTTCTGAAGGTCTTGCGGCACGTAGGACAATATAGAGGCCTATTATGATGCCGTAAGAGATGTTTGATCAATGTCTCGATGGAGTCGAAATCATCTTTGAAAAGACATTGCTGGTATTTCTCTGGCGCATTGATGAAGAAAGGGCAAGCAAGGTGAAGGAAAGCCGTTTTGCATTCTGGGTGAGAGACCGCAACGAATTCTTCTTCGCTATCCTCCTCTTCCTCGGCTCGTGAAAGACCTGATTCCCACCGCAATGCCTTGAACCGCTTTCTTGGAGGCAATCTGTCCTCTGGTGGCGCAGCATATTCTGTCCCATCACTCCAACAGCGGAACCTTTCTCTCAAAAGCTGTTGCAAATCTGTTGCCTGTGCTGGAGACAATTGATTTCCGAGAAGGCTGTTGTGTTGAGCTGCAATATTCTCGTCGGCGCTAGTGGTTCCATCACCGTCATCGCCGTCATAGCTTGAGCAATGTTCGCTCCTCGATCGAAGGGAAATAACTTGGTGGCATCCAGAGCTTTTACATTGTCGTTCAGAAGCATACATCGGCCGACCTGCTCTGCCCCGTTTCGTCCCAATGAGGCTTGGTAGTTGGGCCAATTGTCCAGGGAAGCGCCTCACTGGTAACTTGCCAGGCTTTTGCGATATCATATTGGATATTGTGGTTATCCTGTAATAAATAGAATATAATCCTTTCTAACAAATACAACGAAATGAACATATGGTGAGAGTCTTTGCTGTGAAGAGTATTATGAAACATGGGGTTGAAAGAATGCGAAGAAAGGTGCTCTCGCTGTTGATACCAAGATTTCACTCGCGGGAACGATGAGCTGTAATATATCCTAGCCTGCAGCCTGATTTGACGTCGTATAAAACTTTTAAAACTGCAGTTTTCTTACGGCGAAACAGCCAATGAGATGGTCTATGTTGACACCATGTTGAATGACAATCTAAGTTAGTCATGCATTTAGCCGCCAATGAACTGGGGTGTCTGCACAATCGTGCGCCACTTTCAACCCGAGCCGAAAGGGTACTTACTCCCATAGATTCGAAGTCCATTCAACAGCTGAAGTCAAATTCTAGGATTTAGACTATTTGAAGGACAGCGAATGAGTACATGTCACAACTAAAACACTCCAAGTCATGCTGAATGAGACATGCGCAATGCTGCATCACAAGCCTCCAACATCAGCCTGCCACGACTGTGGGTGCTATCAGATGCACAACTGCCGATTACATTCCCGGTCGGAACACAAGTACTACATGAAACTAACAAGTGTTATGTAGCTTGAAATTTATTTCATGCACAGCCGAGATTTGAAACCGGATGATTGGTGTGTGCTATGTTTTGAGGCACTCGTTAGTTGCTTTTTGCGTCATCTTCCACGTTGATTTATGCCAGACGGCAGAATATGAGGTAAACATCATACTTTCCGATCGAGTGACTATTCTATAGAGAAGTTCACAAATCGTCCTGATGATGCTGTGTTTAGCCCGAGTATTAGAACTCCATAAAGCACGGGTGATATGCGAACACGACCACTGTGAAAGAAGGGACCTGTTCTAGCATGGCCAGAGTACTGCCTCGGCCCTTTTCCTAACCACCAGAATGAAAGGGATCAGCTGGACTAACTCTCTCAGCCTTCCCTGATACCGCTTACTCTCCTTATTTTAATCGAATAAATCACGCATAGAGTTTCTTACGGTCACAAACGGACTTTAAAAGAGTTAAATGACAGCTCAACCTCATAAATCATATTCGGAACACCGCTTACGCAAATATCAGCATGAATGTAACCACCCACTAGTCCTTTTGAGAAATTGGAAGGCCCTCGTGATAAATTTCCTCCGCTGAAGTAAGCCAAAGAGGTCATAGGTTTCGCTGCTGTTGATTGGCCTCGACTTTCAGCTCTATCCTACTATTGAGCCGTGGCTGCGACAACCCATGACTGCATATCGTGGCAGGCTCTCAGCTTTTCCTCAGAGGAGGATAAATAATTGCTAATTTCCCACGAGCTCCCTCTTCTACCAGAACCCAGGACACACGGTCTTGAACCACGCGCTTTCATCGAACCCAATCGCCAGCAGTGCCATTCAAAAGCCGAAGTGAGCAAATAGCCATGAATTACCAAACAGCACTCTATGGCAATAAGTTTGCCGAACTAGTCGCCCAAGACGTGTCGAACCCCTCCAGCCGAAAATGCAGTCAATGCTAAACTACCTAGCATCGACGGCACTGGGATTGCCGCCCTGGTCAGCAGCCTGTATGTCCCTGAGGATACTAAGAGGTACGGCGGCTTCGGTCTCATCTTCAAAGATGATTCCAAGTACGACGGCTTTGCATGGGTGCAGTTCATTACCCGACAGCTCGTCATTAATGGTGCAGCCCAAACTGGGAGCTTGTCCAACAAAACGAGCAAGCCCGCTTACCAGTTGGTAAAGTCTACGGAGGACATCACAGACTTTACAACTGGCTCGGGGGCGCCAAACTGGAACACTTGCTGGGGAGTGGACTCTAAGCTTACCGACGTTTTCTTCGCCAGCACTCTTGAATACGTTAGGTCTGATACCCTCAAACTGAACGGTATCATGGACACTCCGAGCGTCTCGATCGGCAAGATTCCGAAACCGTATGACAGGGACTCTTATCAAGATGCTCCGGATGACTTGGTTGATATGAAAGAGTTGGCGACTGGCCCAGGCACTTCGGGTGCTTACTTCTCGGACTATCTTGTGAGGAAGCTCGATGGGGGTGGACATCGCATCTGTGCGCGCTTTGACCTCAGTTTGACCTGGAACGCGAGCGAGGGGGATAAGAAGAACTTTGAAATCACCTCTTTGAGCTCTACTGCGACCAACACATTTCTGAGCTGTCACAGAGCTGCTCTTCAGCACTCGACAAGGCCACTCAAAGAGGGCAGTATGTCAAAGCAACCTTATCTGGACTTTCTCAACTCTATTGTACCGTGATCAGAGTCAAGGGATGGCTTTTAGAGACTCGCGAGAAGACATTGCCCCTAAGGTTCTTGAAGATAGAAGAGTTTTCAGGGGATCTAACAGGATAGTAACAACACTTAAATTGGCTCTAGTCCTCTATACTGGCAAATCAGTGTGATTTCTTCCACTCAGCCTCGACCTCCCGAACAAACTGTCCATAGGCCCTATCGCTATTCGGAATAAACTTCCTCCTATGCCCCTCCTCATCCTTCCAATAAAACGCCTCGTCATGAATTTGATCATCGTCATCAAACTGATAGCACTGAAGAGTGATACAAACAGTATCCGAGGTATTCTCAAGCTGATGAACTTGATACTGATCCTTGCCCAACCAAGTGACTTTGCCTTCTTCAAGAATGACTGGATTGCCAATCAACTGTGACGGACTTCCCTCTTCAACCTTGTCAAACCAGGAAACTTGGATCTTGCCGTAGAGGACTCTGATGACTGCTGAAGCATCGCCGTGCTGGTGAATGGGTGATTTGTGGCCAGGGGGCCAGATCTCCATCACATAGGGGATACCAGGAGAATCCGCCTGTTGGTGTTAGTTGTGAGCAATTCCGGGAAGGAAGAACATACCAGGTTATCACCAATTGTGATACGAAGATAGGTCTCCAGTTTGTCTCCAAAGGTATTCTTTCCCTCGAGGATCTCACCACAGACCTTTTTAGGATCTCTACAGCTCTCGTCGATGGCTTCAGGGAGCTCCGGGAAATCAGCCGGTCTCGCTGTAATCTTGGCCCCAGAAATATTGTGGTACAGTTTCTGACAGGCCTTGGGCAGATTGGCAAACGTCATGGCTGACATTTTCTCCAGTATGTCTAGTGTCATCTCCGACTCGGGGATGACCACGGGCGGGAGATCAACCGTGACGGGTTGTGGCTTGTACACAATGTCTTTGTTGGAAATCGGAGAACCATCTTGCTCCACTTGGGTAGAAACGAGGTTATCCATCCAAGCAGCCTTGTCCTTCTCGAACTGGATCTCCATGAAAGTCATGGAATTATTGATCAGATGCTGGCCATACCGGATGCGAGCGTTGCTTCTGTCAACGGAGATCCAATAGGTAGCCTTCTTAGTCAACGTGTCAAGCAGAGCTGAGGTTTTTCCTTTCGGAAACATGACAAAGTCGTAAAACTTGTTTCTCTCCTCGCCAGGCTCAAACTTCAGCTTTTCCTCATATGCGACAAACTCGTCGGCATCTTTCCCTTTCTTGGATAAAACGCAGTCATCTTTTGTGATCTCAAGCTTCAGGGTTGGCTGCTCATTCCGCTTTCCGGGGCGAATGGTGAATGTTACACCTTTTTGGGGGGAGGTAGCCTTGGCAGCAATGGTACCAAGACCTCCCACGGCAAAGTCAATTCCGACGGGGGTAGTCTCCCAGGAAGACGAGATTGAGTATAGAAGATTGGCGGTTTTGAAGGGGCTGACTTGGGGTTGATAAGTGTCGGATTCAGCAGGGGTCTGATCCTGGGGTTCCCAAAAGGGATCAGTGAAGTGGGACGGATCGGCCATGGTAGAAGCTCAACAGTGAATAGTACGAATTGATCAGGAAACTGATGATGCCCCTCTAAGAGAAAATTGTTTAGTATAAGTAGGTATTCTTCGAATTGTGCTTTGACCTCAGCATTTTGATACATCATTTGATACACGGCCAAACTGCCTATCGCATCTGTTGAATTCGTCATCCAAGACAACCCACTCAGTTGCAGGAGACTAGTGGTCTTCAGCTAGCCACAAGAGCCCTTTACGGGAAAGGATCACAGAAACAGTCGGTCTAGGACGCAAGAGTTTCCTTTCCGAGATCAATCAGGTCTTGCGAAATGCTTGAGTGCGGGGGTGCAGAGACATGTGCGGCTTTTGCATGGGGACGAGAAATCGCAACCACTTACCCAACAGCATACTAAAGCTATCCCAAATTTACTGAGATATTATAAAGGTATTAGATATCCTCTAATTTAGCCCTGTGTGAACATTCCCCCTACTTATAGTTGATGTCGGGATTTATGCATCATGAGTGACACTGCCTGCAATACCTACCTGCTCGATACCCATGAACTGTTCCACAAGAGTACAGCCTCTTAAGAAAGATATGGGACCAGATCTGCGGTCAAAAAGCGTTGAGGGGTTGATTCAACTCTGTCAATGGGCTTATACAGGCCATAGCTGCATATATGTCTCAGAAAAGCAGGCCTCGTTTCAGGTATGACAGGAAGGTCAATGTCAGTTTCGTTTATTTGGCTAGATAGTTCTCATCTTGACCATGAGAGCGTCCCAAATTCGCGATAGCAATCCCTGTTTACTTTTGGGGAGCTCTTGCCAAGATAGTACCATACTTGGAGTACGTGTTGTTAGACGAAGCAACGAAATCCTCAACCTGAAGCCCCGCCTGGGGCTGGAACACACAAATGACATCCGATCCTCCAAACTGGAAGTACGAAATCTCTTGTCCCTTCTTCACTCTGTCACCCTTCTGAATCGTTATCTTGACGGACGAAACTTGTGCCATTCCAATGGGAAGCACAGCAACCTTGCCCAAGACGGGGTTATCAATGATGATCATTCCACGGGTCTGCAAGAACTGATATCCCGGAGTGTCAGGAGCATCTGGACCGCACATAACACGCATGGGCTCACACTTGGAGTTGACCTCCATGTACGCCGCGCCCTGGATGTTCTTCGCCTCAAGGACCTCGCCAGCAACAGGAGCGTGCTGGCGATGGTAGTTGAAGGTGTTGAGGAAGGCATGCATCCAGACACCGCCATGGAATTCATCCGCGTATTCACTTCCCTGAAGGAGCGACGAGATAGTCCATGGAAGGTTCTTGATCATGATCACTCCGTCAGACTCAATGTTGACAATGTTCTGGTTGGCAACCGAATTGTCATACGTGCAGTCGGCCGGATACACAATGACACGGTCGTTCTCTGGCTCTGCAATAGGTCGCATGCCTGGCTTGAGATGGCGAGAGAAGAACTGGTTAAAGGTACGGAAACCACCGTCTGGGACCAAAGCTTCGTCATAATTGTACTTGGGAGAGTTCTTCTGGCTGAAGCTCTCCAGGGACTCTTTCGTGAGCGAGGCAGGGGAGTCCATGAACAGTCCAATAAGCTGCGCATATACGACTATCCATGAGGAGAGCCAGGTGAGTGGCTGACCGACCTGATCAGGGGAGATGGAAGTCTGGAGGTTCTCCAGAGGAGGTTGGTCGATGATGAAGTAGAACATACAGAGAATATCATAGATATCCTTGCCTTCGTAGTTCTCATGAGGCACCCATTTGAGGAGATCGTTGGCAAAGTCCAAGAACGATCGAGCATCACTGATGTTCAGCTTGTCCATGAACTGGGGGATCTGCTGGTATGCAGAATGGACAGCTTCATCGAGAGCACCAGGCTTGATGGTCTCGAGGTAGCCCGTGAGGACGATGATGACGGGATTGTAGATGACAGGTTTCTCGCCAAGCTCAGGCAAGGGAATGATGCCGACAAGACCTTTGCGGATCTTGTCGAGGGGACCCTTTGAGGGAGGAGGCGGCTGGAAGCCGATCTCAGTATCGGGGGCGGTGGGAAGGCCAGAAGGCATGATGTTAGGTTTCTGTGCAACGTGGTTGAGGTGAAGTGATAGATGATGATGAGTCTGTCTGTTCTCTCGGTATGAGGGTTGTGAGATTTATACTCATCGCTCCTAACCCCCATCTCCTTTGGTAACCTTTGTCTTTTCACTCTTTCCTCTTTCCCCTCAATCTTCAGAGTTCAATCGGTCCTTTGTTGCCCCTCCTTTGGCAACATCAGAAGCAATTGCTTGCGCAACACCATGATGTGCTTTCAGGTAATTCGCCAATTCAACTTCGGCAAGTCTATCATGTCTCACAACCCCGCGTTCGTGCGTCGAAGCCCCTCCTCAGTCAACAGGAGCTGAATGTGTTCTGCATCTAATGACCCTGAGGTGATTGGTTGGTAGTTGTTTTCTCAAAAAGGTCGAACCTACAGCTGGTGGTCTTGGTCCCTTTATGAGCCACTGGGGGCTAGGAATCGAGGCCGGGGTTGACTTGAGTCTGCAGCATGTGCTTCCGCCTCTTTTGACGATGCTCTTCAGGTGAGGTCCGTATGAACACAGTACCATTGATCTATAGTCTTTGCTTCTCTTGTCTCTTCTCTCTTGTCGCACTCACCAAGTCTTGGTTACGAGTGAGCTGCCTCTTCCGGAGCAACGGACATGCTGTGAATGCAATGTATGTCGCACACTCGAGCGGGCTCCAATAAGCAAAGAATTGCAGCGATTCGATGCTGTTGGTAGCTTTTCCGGGAAATTGACAGGCGGATGGAGCGGGCCGCATGCATGTCTCACTGATATTTTTGCTTTAGCCAGGAACTTTGGTTGTGGACATGACAGTTATGCAACACATCCTTTGCTTTTCAGTGACGCGCAATGTTAATCGAGTGAGGGGATCAAATCCTTCGGGACCATATTGTTATCTCCTCTATGTTTCTAAGTTCTGTGTGTTGATCATAAGCTCTCGGTCACAGGTCTCACCTGTAAACAACACGCCTCTATGTTTCAACAAGCCTTCAGCGCCATCGATAATATCAAGTAATCAACGCAGCCTTAAAGTGAGCTCCTAAACGCGGTTTGCCAATCAACAAGATATTCCAAAATTAGAGAATGAGAACATTGTGTAAATCAATTAGGCAAAAGAAACTAAGCATAGCTCCGCTCCGCTCCCATCTCAGCTTTGGACCGTTTAGTTCAGTCGTCAAAGCAATCTTCCCAATCTCTCGCTCTGGATAAACATCACAAATCCGAACCTTGGCATCTTTGATCGTTTCAAGTCTGTCTGAACCACCTTTTCCACTTCCGTCTTGAGAGACATCTACGAATGGAGAATCTCTTGTCAACCCGGCGACACTATCCAGAAAATCGGGGGCTTTGATACGCTGGCGAACAACGATATTGTCAACAGCGCAAATCATCAATACCACCGTCGATAGCATTGTCGTAATGAACCACGGCTTATTCAGCTTGTATATATCCTTGTCAAACTCCGTCCATGTTGCTGTAGTATTCTGCCAGAGCACTGGTCCCCCTCCATCCAAGAATAATCCTTTACCACCAGTTAGCACATTCACTTCATAGGTCGACATAGTAATCGTATGTAGAGCAGTCGCGAGTCTTCGTTCAATGACCTCTGGTGGAAGAGAGGCTAAGCATGCAAACCTGTCAGCAGTCTCCGGATCATCTCTATATCCCCCAAAGATTCGCTGGAAAATACCCAGAGGGTCTCTCAAGTACATTTCGAGGGTGCTGGATTCATCAACATGATGACTCGCGCCTGTGGATGATAGTTCCCGTAAAATCCCTCTGGAAAGTTTGAGGCTTGATAGCGCCGTCAGGTTTCCCTTGATTGGGTATGATGGTGTGTGCCTAGCCTGTTTGGCCTGACAAACGAGGTCGGCATCACCTGTTGCTCTGCTGCAAGCAACTTCCATATCGATATACGAGGTGCTGGTATCGCAAAGCCTTATTATCTCCGATTTTTCGCCCACAGCAGTAGTGCATAAGCCTCCCATCACAAGCTGTAATTTTGACTGTGGCTCCGTTTCGAATGATGCTGTGAAATGCTCCGTGATTGTTGCGCTATTAGGGAAGTCGAACCAGATATTCGGGTACACCATATTTGGCTCTACTCTACCATTGTATTGTTGACTTAGAGGAACACTGGAACTAGTGTTGTGAGACCATGGGGCCATGGAACCACTTCTGACCCATTCGCTCCCATTGAAGGCTTTTCCACATGAAAGAGTCTGATAGTGGAAATGGACTGCCATAGTTGAGTTTCCTGGCCTTTCAAATGAGCCACCTCTGATCGGAAGTCCAATCAACGAAGCATAAGGGACGATTTCATCCTCGGGAACGGAAATCCAAGTATGAGGGTCGCTGGCATCGTATGCTGGTAGGAGTTCCAGGAAAGGTATACGAATATTCCTCCATAGGTCCCCACGTCCTCTGCAAGACGCTTCCCACTTCCCGCCAAGGTCAGCTATTATGTCATTGTAGTGTGAACTACTGGTGTTGGCATGAGAGACAAGGACATCCTGTGTTGAAAACGAGGCAGAGAGAACGGTTCTCATATCAGAAATCATAGACTGTTCAGCCGATGCTCCAATAAACACACTCGCTCCAGAACGATAGTACTGGTAGATCTCACTTTTGTTGTTACCAAGATAGTATGTTGCCGGTAATTCCGTGAACATCGGATTTTGCTGAAGACCTAATGAGCGGAGTGTGGCTTGACCTCCTAAAGGACTCAGGGACCATACTGCAATGACGCATATTGCCCAACTACCAATCCACCCCGTCGTGAGAATGTTTTTCAGGGCAGAGGCCGTGGTCTGGCTGGTCAGCAGGAACTCCAGGGAGCCTAATGCTGATCCTCGTTCAACACAGAAGAGCGCGATAGACTTCAGTAATGGTCCAAGGACGACAGCGAATAAAATTGGCCGCAGAGTGGAAGCAACGCTGAGAACCTCGAGTACTGTATCGCCGAATGAACTCTGTTTCTTTCCGTGTAAGGAAACCATCATGGCAAGGAGAACTATTCTCCGGTGAGCTTCTGTGCTTCTCTGACTCATGTAACTTACCTGCATATGCGATAGGGATGAGAAGAAGTAGCACAGCTAAGCCGACTCTCCTGAGCCAGGACGGCGAAGATTGTCGAAGTGACTCTCCAACACCAGCAGAGTGTAGGATTGAAGCATTTTCAGGTATCCGCGACCCAGTCGCTGAAATGAGGCTCTTCAACCCCAGCGGTGTAGTTTCGTCCATGACGTAAGTATCTGTAACATAATGAGAATTTTGAAAATACCCGTATCCTGAGCCCAGTTGGGGACTTTTATATTTGAGCCTCCATTGTAGTCCTACTCACTAAGAATTGAATCTGAGAGACAATAATAGTTGAGAAAGCCTTTCGCAAAATTAGTGGCTCTTTGCGTTGCTCATTCTTTTCACCCGGAGGTTCTCATCCCCAGAGAGTCACATTCTTAAGAGACATGCGTCCAACTGCATGGCGGTCCTTGGTTTTCTTTGGTCAGGTTTCTCATGTGCGTTACACAAGAGGCTGAAACTGTCCGAGTAATGGCCTCCATGTGACAACCGATGGACGCTGTTGGTCGAGAAAGCCACAGCCTGCCTTAGAGCTGAAAGCCACATGTAAGAGTGAGTCCCAATGCAGCCGATGTTAATACCAACGAGGTCGTGAACCAAAATATTTAATAATCTACAGAGTGCAAGATTATCACGAAGAGCTTCCATGACTTGAAGGGGCAGAGTATGTTTGAGATCGACACAATAAACTCAGCCCTACCTTATAACTCAACATCAACGGTTCGTTGAAAGTCAATTAACAACTCAGCTTATCGATAACGTCCGGCGAATACGGGATTCCGCTAGCTCAGTGATCATCCCTGCAGGATAAGCACTAAGCCTCCGACAACCCTGCAACAAACCACCAATCGCCAATCTAGCGGCGGGTCAGTCCCTTTTTGGTTCGAGATGTCTCCAAAACTTGGCACTCCTGATGCGAGATTCCCAATTCTTTACTCAAAGCCACGAATCGATGCTGATCATGAAGTGATGAGAATGGAAACTGCAACAGAAGATCAGAGCTAATCAAATGTTTTTCGGTCATGTAACGGTCAAAGTGGCGGGGATCAGCAGCTGAAACGAAAGCGCCTCGTAAGGATCAAGCTAAGAACCAGGGTCTCCCCAGCTTACGTATTTTGTTTAATCTGCCCTCGCACTCTTGAATGCGAGCTGTGTCTTTTCTCATCTTTTAAGTCCATTCCAGTAATCTCAATCTTAATTTTCACAGCCTCAACTTCTTCACAGCCTCATCAACACCCGTCAAAATGTCGACCGTATCGCCAGAAACAACAAACGCGGATATAATCTCGCCTCCAAAATACACAGCAAACGCTGAGTCCCCCAGAGACGAGAAAATCGCAATTGAGTACGCTACGCTAATTACCCCCCAAATCTTACGCGACGCTGACAGTGAACAAGACAACCAAAAGTTGACGACGAAAACCTCCCCGAGGTCGTTACCGAGCAAACCAGCCCAGCGCAAATGAGCCCTCCCCCCGCAAGCGAATACCGTCCTGTTTCGACCGTTTCTCCCGCACCGGAAAGCACAATGAACTGGGACGGTACGCAATCGCCGCCCATCCTGCAGCATCCTGCTCTTGCCCAGCAGCAGTACGCGGGCCATCAGTCAATGGTCATTCCAGCGCAGCAAACACCACAGGTTCCCCCGGGAGAAACTGTTACGCCGTTGCATTTGCTAGCTGACCAGGCTGATACAATGGATTGTCCGTTTTGTCAGCGTCGCGCTGAGACAAAGGTTAAGAAATCTGCTTCTTCAATGACACAGTACGTTTTTCCGCAACTGATCAAACTTGAGGTATCTAATTGAGATGTAGTATTTACGCAACCGCTCTTTTCTTTACGACTCTTTTCGGTGTCATTTTCCCTTACGCATGTCACTGCGCGCCAAACATTAGCCATTTCTGCAAGAACTGCGGTCGCAAAGTCGCATTCAAGGAGCGCGGTGGACAGATGGAGGCACTGGGCACGCCTGATCATTTGAGGGAGGTCTCGAAGTATCCAGCTGCTCCGCCTAAGCAGAAATGAGCTATTACGGGGGGTAAGGCGTTGGTAGCGATCTATTGTCTAATCTAATGTTGCGGCTCTTCTTCTGCGAGGAGAGGTGCTGTCTCGGGGGTCTTTTTGTCTTTCTTCATCCCGTAGGATGCGACTGTGTAGATACCGAAAATACCCATGAATGTACTGAATGCGAATGCGAGGATGCCTTTGAGCGTGAAGCTGTGACTGTTAGCGGTGTCGCATGAGAGATTGGGGGACATACCCTTCTGGAAGACGTGGTGGAGGGACGTTTTCGCCGGAGAGATCGAGGAGATCAGTGTTTCCAGCTGCGTTGCCGACGGTGGGAATGTTGCCAGCTTTGCATGCGTCGAGATGGTTGTGGGGGAGTTTCAATGAAGCTTGTAATGCGAGGGGATCTTCAACGAATGTCGCGATCAATCCGGACGTGACGTGCCATTCGATATGGCAGTGGAATAGCCAGACACCTGAAGATTAGCTTGGTTCAACACTCAATCAGACGACATACCTGGGTTGTCGGCCTTGAATCTCAGCACCACATTGCCATTTCCGTTCACAACAACTGTATCTCGTCTCATCGGCGTCTCTGCAAACTCCACTGATCCATCAAAGTCACCAGCGTCATCATCGCTCCGATGCAACACTTGAAAGTGATGACCATGCAAGTGAAATGGATGTCGTCCATCATCTCGGTTGTTAATCACCAACTGCACGATCTCATCCTTCTCCAAGACAAAGCTATGCGTATACGTTCCATAGATATGAGGATTCGTCGCTTGCTTTCCACTCGTCAATGCAGTGTAGAGTGTCGGAACCTTGGGAGCTTGGTAGGTGATGTTGTTGAAGAAGGCATAGTTTGCGCCGTCTCGGAGGTTATCCATGATGACATCCAGCTCAATACTTCTGCTTGGTTCAGGAAGTCTAACCATTTCATCGTACGGCACAAGATCCATATCATCATAAGGATCAAAGTCGTAGACGACAGATTGCTTGGGAAGAGGCTTTTCTTCATCGTATACAAGCCAACCTGTAACGTTCCAGTTGAGATCATCGGGGAGAACATCGAATAGATCCTAAACGGTCAGCGACGTAAATCAAAGAGTAACAAGCTTACAGTATCCATGCTCGCAACAATAGGGAAGTTTGCTGATGCGTCGTCCTTGGTTGCTATCAACACACTGCATCGTTGTCCAGCAGATAAATAAACCATATTCGCTTGTGCCGGCTTCGTGTATGCACCATCAACTTCAACAATCGTCATGTTATGTCCCTCAATCCAGAAATACTGTCCCGCAAAAGCACCGATATTCGCCAATCTCAAAAAGTACGTCTTGCCTGTTTGAACAGGCACTTTGAGATCTTGAGTCTCGTTCATGAGAGCTGCTTGAGGGACGGGCTCTGCACCAGTTGGGTTTCCTTTCCTCATAAACTCTGGTATTAACGTCTGCATTTGATCGTGATACCAATCTGAGATAGTCATGATAAGTTCTTCGTCGTATTTTCCTTTGAAAGGTGACTTTGAGTCGTGAATGATCAGAGGTCCTCTAAGTCCATCAGGATATTGGCTTTCAGTGTGTGAGTGATACCAATATGTGCCGGGTTGAGTGATCTTTGAAGTCAGCATATTCTCAGTACAGAGATAAGAGACATACCGTAAAGTTATAGAGAAATGACTCTCCAGGTTGAATAGGGCACTGCGTAACCTGCGACGGCCCATCCATATGATTCGAGCCATTCATGAAAAGCCCATGAAAATGCAAACTCGTAGACTGATTCCCCAAATTATTCCTCACATTAACCAAAACCGTATCCCCAACACTCGCTTCAATCCTCGGTATCGGCCACTCTCCATTAATGCCTATCGTCGACCTCTCAAACGCGCCATCTGGATTTGCTCGAACCCAATCAATAGAAAAGTCATAAGACACCGTCGCAGCTAACGCCGCCGGCAACAAAGCCAACCGTAAGATTCTCATGTTGACTGGGGGAGGTTGGAGGAGGGATTGGGGGAAGTGGATCTTATCAATCAGATAATCCGACGTCGGACGAAAAGAAAAATGTCATGTTATGCGCGGTTATTTAAGATTTAGGGCTTCTCTTTGGACAGAATTTTCTTAGCCTGGTTTGATTCGACGGTCATACGATCAATTGTGGACATCGTGTGACCCTTTAGTTCCAAACCCGGCCGAGGCAGAGACGAGCTTGGCAAGCGGTTATCGGAAATTCTGTTATCTGATCTTTCTGATCTTTCATCGTCAAACATCGTCAAAAATGCTCGATTTATTCTCCGTGCCCGTGTTCGTCGTCGTCTTTCGGGAGACGCTCGAGACTGCTATCATTGTCTCGGTGCTGCTGGCTTTTCTGAAACAGACGCTCGATGGATCACAGCGCGATGCTGGCATTTATAAAACCTTGCGCACACAGGTACATTTGACTGAGTCAATTTAGAGTACAATGGCTGATTCTTTAGGTCTGGCTTGGAACGGCTTTGGGTCTTGCGTTATGTCTTATCGGTTCTGGTATAATTATCGGAATATTTTATATCCTCGGTAACGATACCTGGGCTGACCATGAGTATTACTACGAAGGAGTGTTTTCGCTCATTTCGGCCATCATCATCACCATCATGGGCGGTGCGTTGTTGCGCGTGGGTAAGATGGAGGATAAATGGAAGACGAAATTGGCAAAGGCGATCGAGACACCAGTAACAGCTCAAGGAAAACGAGCATGGTTGGTTAATCTCTTCGAGAAGTACGCCATGTTCGTGTTGCCCTTCATTACTGTTCTTCGTGAAGGTATTGAGGGCATCGTTTTCGTCGCCGGTGTCTCATTCTCTGCACCGGCTTCTGCCGTCCCTCTCCCCGTCATCATGGGGCTGATGTTGGGCGGCCTTGTCGGATATGCTCTCTATCGGTAAGTCGGTCAGTCAATTGATGAACGTGTCTAACTTTTCAGGGGCGGTTCATCTGCGAAACTGCAATATTTCCTCGTCGCTTCAACATGTCTTCTTTACCTCGTCGCAGCGGGTCTGTTCTCCCGAGCAATCTGGCTCTTTGAGCAACAGCAGTGGAACAAGGTTGTCGGCGGTGATGCCGCGGAACTCGGAGATGGTCCTGGATCATACGATATCGACCGAAGTATCTGGCACGTTAACGTGAGTAGCCTCCAGAGCCTTGCGAACCCTACTGACAATCCAGTGCTGTAATCCTCAGCTCAACGGTGGTGGAGGTTGGGCTATTCTGAATGCTGTTGTCGGGTGGAACAATTCGGCTACGTATGGATCTGTGCTAGCCTACAACCTGTACTGGGTTTTTGTGATTGCGCAATTTTCCCTCATGTCGTTCAAGGAGGATCACGGACATTACCCATTGCTCAAGGAGGAGGACACAAGGACCGATTAATGTGTTGTTTGTTCCAGTAAATACATATCCATCGTGTGCGCCCAGATACTCTCTACATGTCCTTTTGGCTGTCTTGGCCGAAGCGTGCGCCTTGTCAAAGTGTAAATAGCCCACGATCGCTTCAATTGCTTCACCCTCTTCGCCAACTGTCTTCTCCAACCTCCCCAGACGCCCTTTAGTCGTCGTATCGCGGCTTCTTGCGAGGTCGTCCAGGTCCACGTGCAGTCTTGCGCTTCTCAGCAGAAGCGCCGCTAGCTAACTGCTTGGCCTCAAACTTCTCCAGCTCACCCGGCGCGATCAATCGCAGCTTCTCTTCGTTCTCCCAGGTAGAGTCGTTTTGCTTGTACCCGACCCACTGGACCTGGTAGCTGCTCTTCTTCCTGCCAGCGGCGGGGATACACTTGAGGATCTTGAAGACGTGGTAAACGTCCAGCTGGGTCGCCTCCTCTCGACCTCCAAGCTTCTCCCAGTACTTGTAGACGAGCGTGGGGACCTGCTCTTGGAGACTCCATTCTGACTCCCAGGAGGTTTCGCCGCCTTCCCATTTGACTTTGATGTCGACGGTCGAGTTGTCGGGGTCAACGCGATGCTCAACGAACTCGTCAATCGCCACATCTTCCTTAAAACCGGGATTGGCGGGTTTTGGCGCATCGCCGTTGACCTCGACACCGTTCACCTCGTCTCCATTGGGCTTGTCGCCGTTCTTCTCAGGGCTCTTTTCGGCGGGTTCTGCAGGGGATTCGGAGACGACGGGGGCGGATTTCTTCGCGGGGGTTTCTGTTTTAGGGGTGCTGACTTTGGGGGTTCCGCGCGGAGTGCCAGCCTTGGGTGTGCCAACTCGAGATGAAGTTCGTGGGGTTGCGCCTCGAGGAGTATTTCCACGAGGAGTCCCGGTTCTCAACGCAGGAGAAGCCTTTGTAGTGTCGGGCTTCTCGCGATGGGCCAAGCCATCTTCCTTAGACGGGGTCTCCGCAGTCATGGCGTCTCGGGTCTTTAACGGGGAAGCTGGAAAGTCGTAGGGGTCTGAATCGTGAGCAGAAGCAGCGGCATGCGATGAGGAGAAATACCTTTGTTGGGTGATACCATGACTGTGCAGCGAAAACCACGATAGTCGCGATGACTTTGCGATTGTTCGCGTTGAGTTGTGTTCAGTGGTCGTGGTATTGCGTCACTGTAGTTAGATGCTGGTCGCAAGTTGAGCGTGGGCGCGTTTACCGGCAACGCGTTGATATGGGGCTGTGACGCCACAATCAGCCACCACGTTTGCTGACTGTATATCGGCAATTGATACGGCTGCAGATAAAGACATGAAGAGAGTTTGCAAGGTAAAAGAGCTAATGTTAAAGTTATATTTTATGCCCAGAAATTGCTCGTGTGACTGATTCACTGACCGTTGAAGAGATCGGCATGCAATTTGAACCACTACTGGCCATGCCGCTTGTCATGACCATGCCGTCATCGTCAACGGCACACTGTCCCTGTCAATTGACAACTCGCAAGGTTGCCTGTTCTTATCGGCAGTTTTATAGCTGACATTTAGTAAATGTTGCATGCGTCGACAATCAACATTATACGACGCATAGCGATCAATTGGGGAGTCTACAGTCTGTTTCGGCATCCTCGGCACGCACACAAGGCTTTAGGAACATAGGTGCAAACACTTCTCAATGTCGGACGTGACTAAGAACTCCTTCACCGACCTCCTAGCTACTCTTTCATCGCCAGTGAACATCAAATTTGCTGTTATGCTGACCCGCGATGTGGTGGTGGCTAATGCTCATATCATGAGACCAAGCAGCAACAGGCCATCACACTTTTTCTGGTCCATGACCTCCCCAATGTGCAACCAACAGTCTAATGAACCAGAAATCTCTCTTAACAGGAGCTATCTCAGGATACTAGATCTTTATACGTGCCGTTGTTCCAATATTGGCACTTCAGGTGTTGCCTATGTGTCATGATGGCTTTCATGTGTTCCGCCAAACTTGTGAGCCAGCTGTGTATCTGCCAAATGCCAATGGACTCTTTCCCAACAGCACTCCATCTTTAATCTTAGCTTCGAGCGGAAATAAAGATAACTTAACAGTTCGGAACACTGCATCTGCATAGGTAGGTGAAACTTGAAAGGCGATGCAGGTCAAGTCTCATGATGAGCTCTTTGTCTCTTGGTATGATGGCCACGGTCGAAAAAAGTCTCTTGTGAGCCGGCCATTCTCAGAGGCAGAGGCCTGATGTCTCTTAGTTGGAGCAACTTTTGTAATGAATAGGTTCGAATCACCTTTGTCTCCAGTGCAGTCTATGCCCTTGACTCAGTTTGGTTCTCAACTTCTCATGGGCCAGGCTGCCAGGCGCATCTTGTGAGTTCTTTGGGTTATGTCAGTTTCTGAAATTAATGCTGGCTCGCACATAAGAGGATTTAGTGTTCCTCGAGATGCGCATCCGTTTCATTGAGTGGTATATAAACCATCTGTAGAATTGTATTATGGTGATGTGCTGGAGAGCTGAAAAGTTGACACGCAAGCTTTAAGGCCAGTCGATGGTAACGATCATTTGGAAGATATCAAACTTGGTACTTGTTGAAGCAATATAATGAGAGATATCTAGCGTTGATTTGCGACCTGAAAGTTGCTGCGCATTGGCTGGATTGCGGTCGTCCATAACCGTATCCTTCTCGCGTCGAATAACAATTTGGACGAGAGCCTTTGTACCATAAACTTAAATACCACACCGATTAAAACAGCAAGACTCAATATTGAAGATTAAACATGGCTCGATAACTCAAAAGAATATGGATGGGTTCTCCGGTATGTCCTAGCTGCAGGGTAAGGGCAAGCAACATTAGCTCAACACATGCAACCACTCAGCGAAAACGAATTAGAAAAACTCTTCCGCTACTAAAGAAGCACCTTAAACGCCTTCGGATCCAGTAGCCGGGAGATCATGCTAGGTTAATAGCCGCCAGGCAAACTAACGCCACCCGCATTGTCAAGGATACAGTAGTGTCGTTCTCGATCGTCCTCCTCAGTGGGGAGAGTTGTGATATTGGACACGAGATCATGTAAGTCTTACGCTATCCAACTGCTGACCGTGGGATTTTCGATCTATGATCGGTATTTTCCTCCTTTGGCGATGGCTCTATTTGGTGGCTGAATTGCAAATGATCGTCTCCATGATCTGAGTTCCATATCATCTTGGCAAACAATATTCACGGGCAACAAACACAGAATAGGCAGTTAATATCTGACATATTTCATCCTTCATACATAAATTCACATGAAGCCCGGTTCAAAGCGTGTGAAAGCGAGCAAAAATATTAAGTTAAGGGACAATCCCTTGGCCCGGGCACGTCATCGGCCAGCACCCAACAACAAGTTAGCCTCGATATAAGCAAACCAATAGTTCAGCAATTCACTACACAAAGCCAAGAATTAACAAAAAATGTCTTGAACTTTTGTTCAAGCTATTGTAGATCAGGCAGGTGAGCTTACTTGACGTGGTCTGAGGCGACGATGGTGATATTATCGCAGCTCCCGTGTGGCAAGCAGGGATCTTCGGGGAGTACGGCCTTATGGGTTAGGAACAGGCTGAAAGGGATTGTGTATATTATTTGTGTTAACTCTCTTTGGAAGTGTGTATGTTCATCACGCTATGCTTCGGGGAGTCTGGACATGTCACACGAGGCGGTGCTCCCTGTTACAGTTGGCCAGGATGAGCGTGGGATGTAATTTTCTTGACAAGCAACCACTTCCATCGAGTGCATCTGATCCTTGATGCAGACTCACCCGGACTTCCGATCGTATACCTCATACGCCAATATCCACAGCTAAAATTGGAAGGTAGTTAAAACAAAGACCTAAATTGAGCCTCAACAAGCCGCAATCCCACGAGTCTGGATTCATATACAAGCGGCGCGATGCCCGGGGAGACTTTTTCGTACCCATGCCAACTGTGGATCAATTGTGCGTCTTGGCTAAAATCAATTGGCTAACTGGAAATAAGCGTGCGATCACCTCAGATCGCGTCATCGTCCTAGTCACTCTAAAAACACCAAGCAAAGATTTTCATGACACATTAGCTGCCCACCAAGAGCTTCACCCCATCCACTGTCCGGTGATGATTGGTGGCTCACCGAATGGCACGATTCAAGGATCGTGCCGTTCTGGCGGCCTTCTAGATTCTTGGGTCCGCTGCGCTGTGGATCACCCAAGCTTTTTAATTTTTTGCCTTCCCATGGGGATTAAGTTATGGGGAGGTATTAAAGAGGATGGGGATCCCCTTTGTTGGTGATGGCTCATCAGAGATTGGCTTTTTGTTTTGAAGAACTGAGTCGGAATCATGAGTAACGACGATCTCAAGGGTCTTGAGCCCAAGGCTAACAAGACTAACTATGTCGGTTCAGACAGCGAAGAGGGTATGTCTAGGCACAATACCTTGATGAGAACGTCACTAACTTTACAGGCCGTCTTCAACACGCCGCCGATAACAAACGCCAGATCGGTGTTCTGAGCGCGTCTATGCTCATCTTCAACCGTGTCATTGGAACCGGTATCTTTGCTACACCCGGCTCTATCCTCGCTCTTCTCGGCAGTCCAGGTCTTGCTCTCATCATCTGGGTAGTCGGTTCCATCATCGCCGCTGCTGGTACGGCCGTGTACCTCGAATGGGGAACCGGTATCCCCAAGAACGGTGGTGAGAAGAATTATCTCGAGTTCATCTACCGCAAGCCCAAGTTCCTCGTCACCGGCATCTACGCTTCGTACATTCTTCTCATGGGCTGGGCTTCTGGTAACTCTGTCGTCTTTGGAGAGTATATCCTCCATGCTGCGAATACCGAGGTTGATCGCTGGAACCAGCGTGGTATTGGTCTGGCTTGTATCACCACTGCGTTCCTCATTCATGGATGTGCTCTCAAGTGGGGTCTTCGTCTTCAGAATGCTCTCGGTATCATCAAGCTCTTCATCGTCTTTATCATGATCATCTGCGGTTTTGTCGCCCTTGGCGGTCATCTCAAGACTGACGAGAAGCCCAACAACTTCAAGAACGCCTTTGAGGGTACTACCGGCAGCGCTTATGGTGTTGTCACTGCTCTGTACAACGTCATCTGGAGTTTTGTCGGTTACAGCAACGCCAACTACGCCCTCAGCGAGACTCGCAACCCCGTGCGAACCCTCAAGATCGCTGCTCCTACTGCCATCATCTCCGTCTCGATCATCTACATCCTCGTCAACATCGCTTACTTCGCTGCCGTCTCCAAAGCTGAGATCATTGCCTCTGAGCGTCTCGTCGCTGCTTCGCTCTTCCGCAACGTCATGGGCCCTGCTGCTGAGCGCGCCATGTCTGTCTTTGTCGCTCTGTCGGCTTTCGGAAACGTCCTCAGTGTCATCTTCTCTCAGGGTCGTCTTGTCCAGGAGCTCGGTCGCGAGGGTATTCTGCCCTTCTCTCGTCTCTGGGCCAGCAACCGACCTTTCAACGCTCCTCTCGCTGGTCTCTTTGAGCACTGGGTCATCTGCGTTATTGTCATCCTGGCTCCTCCTCCTGGAGATGCCTACAACTTCATTCTCAAGTATGTCTTTGCCCCAGCTCTGTCTGTCAACGTCGCTAACCAATCAGCCTCATCTCTTACCCTCTCGCGATCGTCAACACCTTTGTCGCTGGTGGTCTCGTCCATCTCTACCTTCACGGCGCAAAGTACAACTGGAACCCTCCGATCAAGGCGACCCTCCCCGTCACCGTCTTCTTCCTTCTCAGCAACATGTACCTGGTGATCGCACCATTCATCGCTCCCGACGATCCCAGCCAGAACCAGTACAAGAGCATGCCTTACTACATCCACTGCGTTGTCGGTATCGCTATCTTGGTCGCGGGTGCCTTCTACTGGCTCATCTGGGCTGTCATTCTTCCCAAGATTGGTGGTTATAGGCTTGTTCGCGAGACTCATGTCGATGAGATTGATGGCTGGGAGTCTAACCGCTTCCATCGGGAACCTATTAACAAATAATTGTAATTGCTTTGAGTTGTCAGCGTCTTTAGACTAGATTAATACCCAAATTGCTGCTTGTTCAACACAACAATTGACTTTCACCTGATGATCTTCGTGGTCCACAATTAACCGTGATGCTGCATGTAATCGAGCTATGACTAAGAATGAGATACCGAACTGAAGGTCTGTCGAGCTACAGAGTGGGTGTCGCGTATGACTTCACTGAGAATGCTTTAGACATCATCTTTTGCCTGGGTACCCTGTATTGCTTCAGCTGTATGGGATCAACTATGATCCGGCGGCTTTGAATCAATCGCGAAACCAACACCAAACACCGCGTTCCAACCGACAGAGATTATCACGTTCATTCAGATCCAACTCTTCCTCACACCCGAAGTCCGATGTCAATATTCAGGGTCCGACCCGCTCAAGCTCATCGGTGCCAGTTCTCCCGCCGAAAATGACGTCTCTCCGGTCCTACTTCTGTCCCCGATCGCCGCACACTCGGAACCACAATTGCTCCCGATCCTCTTCTTTAAACATATCGCAAGTCGCAATCATGACTACGCCAAACAAGACATCACAGCAATCATGTCGAAGCTACTAAGACTACGGGCGAGACCTCTGACGTGGGGAAGCAGCTTCACAGCGCGCCAATTCAGCACAACAAGGCCCGCGCTGGCGGTGCGGGGAGGGTCGAAGCTCTTTAAAGATGCGGACGCTGCAGTTGCGGATATCAAGAGCGGTTCTACTCTTTTGAGTTCGGGCTTTGGACTCTGTGGTGTCGCAGATACATTGATTGGAGCGCTGAACAGAAGAGGCCGCGATTCTCTCAATTCGCTGACTGCTGTGTCGAACAATGCTGGCGTTGAAGGCAAAGGCGGTTTGGCAACGCTCACAAGCGCTGGTCAAGTCGATCGCCTGATCCTATCATACCTCGGAAACAACAAGGTGTTGGAAAAGAAGTACCTGACAGGCGAATTGGCTATTGAGCTTTGTCCTCAAGGAACTCTCGCTGAGCGCATTCGTGCTGCCGGCGCTGGTATTCCTGCATTCTTCACGCCAACTGCAGCTCGTACGTTGTCCGTCAATTGATAGAACGAAGCTAACAAGTTAGACACTCTTTTGCAGGATGGAGAAATCCCCGTTCGCTTGGACAAGTCGGGCGCTGTTGTCGAAAAGGGACGAAAGCGAGAAACACGCGAGTTCAAAGGCCGAACATTCCTCATGGAGACAGCAATTGAAGGCGATGTAGCTATCATTCGAGCTTGGAAGGCTGACAAGGAAGGCAACTGTGTATTCCGGTATGTCTGCCCAATTGAACTCTCAATTGATGCTAACAAGTTAGATACGCAACAAAAGCATTCGGACCCATCATGGCAAAGGCCGCGAAACTCACAATCGTCGAAGCCGAAAACATCGTCGAAGTTGGCGCAATCGATCCCAACGATGTCGACCTCCCCGGAATCTTCGTCGACCGAATCGTTCAATCGACAGCCGAGAAGAATATCGAGGTTCTCAAGTTGAGAGAAGAGGGATCGGATGGACCACCCAAGGCTACGAATGAAGCGCAAGAGCGACGAAATCGCATTGCCAGACGAGCGTCCAAGGAGTTGAAGCCCGGTTACTATGTTAACTTGGGTGTTGGCATTCCTACACTGGCTGTTTCTTTCCTCCCTGCCGATTCGACTGTGCATATCCAGTCTGAGAACGGTATTCTTGGAATGGGTGCTTATCCTACAAAGGATGAAGTTGATCCGTATGTTAATCGTCTCTGTGTGAAGCGTCGCTAACAAATTAGTGATATCATCAACGCTGGTAAAGAGACAGTCACCCTTGTCCCCGGCGCATCCGTCTTTGACTCCGCCGAATCATTCGGCATGATCCGTGGCGGTCACGTCGACGTCTCAATCCTAGGCGTAAGTTCTCCAAACCCCTCTCACTTTATTTCTCCACTAACAATCCCAGGCCCTTCAAGTCAGTGCAGTCGGTGATTTAGCCAACTACATGATCCCCGGCAAGGTCTTCAAAGGCATGGGCGGCGCAATGGATCTCGTCGCCAACCCCGACAACACCAAGATCGTCGTCGCCACCGAACACTGCGCCAAGGACGGCTCATCAAAGATCAAGCAGCAGTGCACGTTGCCACTAACAGGCGCACGTGTAGTAAGCACCATCATCACGGATCTGTGTGTGTTTGAGGTAGATCGCGAGCAAGGTACTCTTACGCTTACAGAACTTGCGCCGGGGGTTAGTGTGGATGAGGTCAGGAGTAAGACGGATGCGGACTTTTCGGTGGTGGATGATTTGAAGCAGATGGAGTGATACCAAATAGAAAGAGTTAATGAACTTTTGTTGTGTAATCATGTACTTGCACTTTTGTGTGATGAGTGGAACTTTTGAAGATTCGTCATTGGACCCTGGTGACTTGGAATAGAGTTGGCTCCGCTGCGGGGAATAGATTAAGGTTAGGAGTCTATTTGGGCGATCGGCAGGGCGGTTGAACGGTTTCTTGCGCCATTGATACCTTGTTATAGCGAAGATGAACGCCAGTGCCGATGGGGAAGGTCCTGTTTAGTTTGCTGATGATCATCTGCGGTGCTCAAAAGTTTGCCCGATGTTACTGTCGCCAAGAATGAGGAGACGGTTTATATAGCAGTGTTGGGTTGCACGTAGTTCAATCATCACGCATCAATCATGAGGTACTCAATCGTTTCTCTCCTCACCCTCGCCTTGGGCGCAATTGCTGTTCCCAAGACTGAGATCAAGTCTTATGACGGTTATAAAGTCTTCCGTGTAAACACCCACGGCAAATCCGCCATCAAAGAGAAGCTCACTCCTGTGACTTTCGATGAGTGGGAGCATGGCTACCAACACGTTGACATTGTCGTCGCGCCCAATGACATCAGCGCCTTTGAGAGTCTGAAGCTTGACTACACCACTCTGCATGAGAACCTCGGCACTTCAATCACGGGCGAGAGCGTGTCCCGCAAGAAGTGGAAGCGCCAGGCAGATGATGATTCATGGTTCGATGAGTTTCACAACTATGAGGATCACATCGACTACTTCCGTGACTTGCAGGCGCAGTTCCCCAATAACTCAAAGCTGGTGTCTTCGGGCAAGTCGTACCAGAAGAGGAACATTTATGGGCTGCATCTTTGGGGTGAAGACGGTCCTGGAAAGCCTGCTGTGCTTTACCACGGAACTGTCCACGCTCGTGAATGGATTTCCGGTCCTGTAAGTTCGCTGCCTTGTTATTGACTTTCGTGGCTGACCGTTAGACCCTCGAATACATCACCCTTCAGCTCGTCAAGGGCTTCAAGAGCGGCGATGAAGATGTTCAGTCTTACCTGAACAAATACGACTTCTACATCTTTCCCTTTGTCAATCCCGACGGCTTTGTAAGTTAATCGCTCATGCTGGATGCATTAAGCTAATTGTTAGGTCTACTCTACTACCGCTGATCGTCTCTGGCGCAAGAACCGTCAACCACCTCCCGCCACCGCAGCCAACCAATCATGCTACGGTCGCGATATCAACCGCAACTGGGAATTCGGCTGGGACTCCAACAAGCGCGGTGCCTCCACCGATCCCTGCTCCCAAGTTTATCGCGGTGAAAAGCCAGCCGACACCCCAGAGAACCAAGGTCTCGATAAATTCGTCCGTCAGCTTCGCGACACCGTGGGCATTGCGCTGTACATCGACTGGCACAGCTACGGACAATACATCCTCTCTCCCTTCGGCTACAAGGAAGACCTTTACGCACCTGAGCTCGGAAAGTGGACCAAGGCCGCTGCGTTGGTCAGTGAGGCTATTCGCGAGAGCACAGATGATCACACAACATATACTTTTGGACCTAGTGGTGCTGTTCTATACGTTACCACTGGCGCTGCCCCTGATCATGTTTATAGTGTCGGAGGAGCCAAGTTCTCGTATACTATTGAGCAGCGCGATACTGGTGAGAATGGTTTCGTTCTTCCACCTGAGCAGATTCGACCGAATGCCGAGGAGCAGTGGGCGGGTCAGAAGGTGCTGCTGTCGCTGTTGGATGAGACGTTCTTTGATGGAAAGGGACCTGCTCTTTACCAGGGACAGACTTAGATGGGGATTAAGATCTTCGTTTCTTGTACATAGTTGAGAAGCCAATTGAAGTGGCGGAGGATGCGCAAACGTTGCACTCCTTCGCCGTTGAACTCTACAGCCATTCCGAGATCAGACCGTTGCAAATAGCTTGATCGCATGAACTCAATTGTTTAATTATCCAATTGTATCATTTACAATGTCTATCATAGCTTAGAATCTCTACCTGGCGCAAAGCTGCTTCCACCGATTGCCTCAACAATCTTATCCACCGTATTCAAGATCCAATGCCCACCCTCATCACTAGCCAAATACTGCACAGCCTCTTCACTCTCTCCATCCTGATCATTCTTGTACGTCCCATCCTCAAGCGCCTTTCTCAACCCAAACACATGCGACAACACTTGCGGTCCAACACCAGTCTGCGCACGTAGACAAGAAATAGCAATCATAGAAGTATGAACCCGTCCCAGGCTCGCAAGTGTATCGCGCTGTGAAGCAGGAGGATCGGAGAGCAGAGCAGAGTAATGGCTGCTGAGGATATAAACGGGCAAATCGGGATGCGCAAGCGCAAGCTTCTCGAAGAGCTTGTCTTCGTACGGCCTGTAGATCGAATCCCATAGTCCGCGACCGCGCGCTAACGCCTCGTCGATGTTTTGCGATGTCGGTTGTCGGCTTGGTTTCGTGCAGAGTTTCGATGTTACTTCTTCGGGGAGCGATGCGTGGAATGCATTTAGGGAATTGATCGTTCGTGGGATGCCGTTGAAGCTGATGCATTTGAGACCAACTTCTCGGATGAACTCGGCATTCTGGACAGCGGAGTTGGGGTCTTTTGCGGACGCGACGCGATGAAGAACGGGTAGGGAATCAGGAGAGTTGAGGGTAAACGTCGCAGCAGCCTGAATTGTCAGTATATACAATCAATTAATGCGACAACGGTGGGAGAACGAACAGAAACTGTTAGCCATGACTTTGGGCCGAGGTTCCTAATCGCAGCATCATTTGCGATGGCCTCGTACAACTCCTGTACTTGCTTCGGCGCAGGACGAGGTCCCGGCTTTGCAAACGGCGCATTGATAAGCGCTTTCAGCGACGTAGATAGTTTCGACATGTCTGCTTGTTTCTCGTCTGACATTGTGTTTCTGCCGAGGATGTACTGACGCTTTTGTGATAATGACGATGATGGGCGGGAGTCAGAGTTGGAGACCGAGGGATGGATCCGCTTTTTCTACGGGGTTCAGAATGGATGTGCGGGCGGAGCTAGATTTGGATGCCGAGAGCATGTGTAAGTGTACAAAACAATGAGATGGAAGGGAGATGGAAGGGAGCTGTGAGGAGTAGTTAGATCACAGCGTGTTAGGATAGAATATTGTTGAAATGACTTCTGATAAGAAAAAGGAGCCTTTCTGGCTTGGGTATGTCTCTTTGAGTGCGTTATGAATATGACTGACTGTTTGTAGTGGTGCTGCAGCTTGCATGGCTGTTTGCTTCAGTATGTCTTCTTCAACCATGGAGAGCTTGACTAACATATGAAGCCCACCCTCTGGACCAAACGAAATAGTAAGTTTCTCATTCAACACTTGTATCTCCAAGCTAACCAGTTAGTCGCATGCAAGTACTCAAAAGCAATGCCTCCATGCTCAACGTTTTATACCGCTTCGCTGCACGCGATGGTAAGCTCCTCGATCTTTGTACCGCCCATCTACTGATTATCAGGCATCCCATCACTCTGGAACGGCTTATCAGCTTCCATCCTCCGTCAAGGAACATACTCAACCGCCCGTTTCGGCTTCCACACATACTTCTCAGATAAACTGAGAGGATACACAGGCAAGAAGCTCTCAGTTGCGCAGAACATCGCCTGCGCAGGTGTAGCTGGCGGTGTTGCTGGTTTAGTCGGCAATCCAGCTGAAGTTGTCCTTGTCCGTATGTGTGCAGATGGCGCAAAGGCTCCTGCGCAGCAATTCGGATATGCTCATGCTTTTGATGCGCTGGCGAGAGTGTATAGCGAAGAAGGCATGAGGGCGTTCTGGAAGGGAATCGCTCCGAATATTGCGAGGAGTGCTTTGATGAGTGAGTTTCCTGTTCTATGTGTGAACATTGCTAACAAATTTAGATGTGTCTCAGATCGCTACGTAAGTTTACTACTACTGTGGGTTGACTCAATTAACAACTCAGATACGCATCCGCCAAACAATACCTCCTCGGCAACGGTTTTGGGGATGATACAAAGACACATGCTATCTCATCTTTAGCCGCTGGAACAATGGCGACAACTCTATGTGCTCCCGCAGACGTTCTCAAAAGTAGAATGCAATCTAGCGCTGGGAAAGAAGGCCTAGCCCAAGTTCTGAGCACTGGTCTTCGCGAAGAAGGCCCACGATTCCTTATGAGAGGCTGGACTCCTGCTTGGCTAAGACTTACGTACGTTCTCCGTTCTGATTTGGGACCAAGCTGACTTTCTAGACCGCATACTGTCTTGACTTTTGTGTTTATGGAGAAGCTTCGACAGCTTACCTCGATAGATTGGTTAGGTGGAATTACTGCTGCTGAGAAGGAAACTCTGCGTTGAGAAACTCGCATTCTGGATTTGAGTGAGATATTGATTTGAGCAAGTAACTTGTTTGTTGATTTATGTAGCAACTATATACCAACTTCAGGCCAGTAAAGCCATTCGAAATTCGTCATGTCCTCCCATGACAATCCCCCAAACGAAGGCTCAAAATCGTTGCCTGGCTGATTCAGCGCTTGAACGATTTGGTCATCAGACATTGCTGAGAACTGTAACGGTTCGGGCCATAACGCTTGCTGATCCAAAAAGGTTGGAGTCGTAATTGGTGCTTCGTTAACGATTGGCATTCTCGGGTCTGAGATACCATCTCCTGTCGCTGCCCTCCTCACGATCTGCTTGAGGTATTTTCCGTACTTGATGGAGAGGCCATTACGATGCCGTGTGACTTTTCCGATCCTTTCCAGAACTGTGGCTGTTTCGTCGATGAGGTTGCGGACACTTGGTGCCAGGGCTGATCCACCGGTTGCGTAGGAACTTAGTGTAAGGGCAAAGCAGGCCGCGAATGAAATCATGATGGCTGTGTTGTTCGGCATTGACTGCAGTTGTGACTCTCCCTGGATCGCAGCTCGCATGACGTTGAGGGCGGATGAGAGACCAGCCGTGTGGAAGAAACGGCGGACTTCGAGTGGTGCTGTTGGATGGTTTATCACTCCACCGTAGATAGACAATCGGGTATGTGTGACGAGAATTTCGACGTAAGGAGGAAGACGACGATCTGATGGTCAGCGTGGTCCTTGTCGAGAGGCCATAAATCTTACCTGGTCCTTTCCCGATCGATACTCCCCATTCGGTGTACCATTGATCAAAAAACCGTTCGATTGACCCTTGGATTCTGTAACTGTTAGCTGCGTCACTGGCCTTGGTGACATACGTACGATTGCGCGATTAATGACCCATCGCTGGAAGCCATCTGAGATCCATCGCAAAGGGCACGAACAGTCGCAAAAAGTGCATCCAGATCTCTTCTTAGCACCGCCATGGAAACCAAATGACCATCAAGAGGATCAGCATATTCAGAACGATGCCAATTGTCGCAATCTTTCAAAGATCTTGTCATCGGTACTGAAAACGGACGCCCTCTAGCCAGAGACATTCCTCGCTCAAGAACAAACAACGAAAGCCAGCATCGTTCGCGATTTCTCAGAAATAGCCGTCCTTTTTCTGACCATGGATCGATTTCAGGGAACCCATCCATTGCGAGAGCAGCTCTTGGGTCGAGACAGTCACCTCTTGCTAGGCCAATACCAGACCCTGAGCCAACCATTTCCGGTGAGATTAGACTCTTGTGAAGTGATAAATCCGTAGCAACTGTGTTGGCAATCGAGATGTAAGTGCATGTCTCATCGTCAGTTGAGTGCTGTCCCGGAAACATCCATGGGATATTAACCATGAATGCAAGCACAATTTCAACTGATCGATACCGATTTACCATGACTCTATGCGCAAGAGTTCTAGCGTGATTCGATAATCGTTTTGAGAGAGCGGCTGCTGATGGCATGAAGAGTGCAGATGCAGCCATGATAGACGTGTAAAGGAACGCTGATCTTGAACGCGTGAATTCGACAGTGTATATTCTCGGATCAAGACCCCATCGTGTATGCGCGAGGTTCCGATGAAAACTACGCGGTTAGTACGCGCCAAACATGGAGTGATGAACTCACAAGTTGAAGAGCTTGTCTGCTTCCTCCTCCGATACAAGGCCCAGAGAAACAGGGTCAACATCATGTCCAACATCGAGATGGACTTGCGCCGGCGCAAAGAATGCTTGTATTTCATCCTCCGTTTGACCCTGCGTACTAGCCGTATGCGCCTGTTGTGGAGAATTACCATGTCGCGACTCAGGCGACGGTTGAATATACGATGCCCTCGCAAGAAGCTGTAGGGGATTCTCAGCATCGTCAATAGCAAGACTCTGTTGCGTTCTCTGAATGAAATCGGGCATTGCTACAGGATCCTGCTCCTCCTCCTCTTCCGAGTACGCATCTTCATCGCCATCACCGCTGACACTGTACCCACGAGTAGTCGCGTGTTCAGGTGTATTCGCATTGCTGAGTAATTCCTGCAAATGGTTCAGAATCCTATCATCTTCCGGATTCTTCTGCGACGCTGATCGGGCGCGTTTAACAGCCTGGTCAATCTGATACAGCGCCTTATCCAACCCAGTTCGTTTACTGACAAGTCAGCATTGAATAGACAACAACATCAGATCGGCAACGTGCGGGGAAGCTTACTTTTTAATACCCTTTTGTCGTCCGGGATGATATGCAGGACGCACACACTCGCAGTCAAGCTGTATGCATCTCCTACATCGTTCCTGGTGAGGTTTCCAGTCGCATTTGATCTTTGAGCGACGACATACGAGACAAGCAGCTTGTCTCGGACGCGGCGAATCACCAGACTCGAGCGGGGATGTCTGGCTCTGAGAGTCAGAGTTCCGCCCCGCCATGATTCAAAAAGGACAAAAGAAAAAAAGTCGGAGGTTGATCTGTTACCGACGATGGGAAGTCGATGAGGTGATGAGAAACAAAGTTGGGTAACGGGGGAATGGGGGAGTTGAGAGGCGGAGACGTTTCCGACTCGAGCTCGAGTCAGTTCGTCGGAAACACACATGATTGGTCAGTATTTAAGCTTCCGATATTGACTCGCGAAGCGGAGATGCATCTTCAACGGTTCACTAATAGGCATGATTAAGATTATGCATAGTTATTTGATTTTATCGATAAGTTATATTACTTGCAGATGCATTATCCACAGACTACAGAGATTATCATGTCGCCATCGACCCTGTCGAGCACGAAATGAACGGACAGTCGCAAAAGTGGAAATGGCCACTGACTATATCGTCGGGCAACTTGCGATTCTAGCCTGATTCGGAAGAGTTGTGCACTAACCCTGTTTCAATCCACATTTGATACTCCATTGATGAAAATCTTTTGAAAGAATGGTGATATGAGAGGGGTTTATAAGAGGTGAGGGTTGGAATTATTTTTGAATTGAGTTTTTGGTTTGGATGTTTGCGTAGCCGTCAAAATGTCGTCCAACGCTGTGATCGAATCGGGCAGCGATAAAGATGTCAAGGATGTCACTGAACAGAGCGTTGAGCAGTCTAAGCCTGTATCTCGGTTTACACGATGGTATCGCAGTCCTTTATTCAATGTCATAATCGTTGGTTTAATCTCCTTCACCCAGCCAGGAATCTGGAATGCCCTCAACAGTATGTCAATCGTCCCCTTACTTTACATGGCTGACGACTGTAGATACCGGCGCTGGTGGTCAGCAGGAACCATACCTTGTCAATGGCGCCAACTCACTCACTTTTGGCATCATGGTTTTCGGATGTTCCATTTTCAGTATCCTGGCCAATAAGATTGGTCTGAAATGGGTTCTTGTTATCGGTACCCTTGGCTATGCACCTTATTCTGCAGCGCTTTACACCAATAACAGATATGGTGTTGAGTGGTTTGTACTCCTTGGCGGTGCCACTTGCGGTATTGGTGCTTCTGCTCTTTGGGCTTCGGAGGGTGCCATTGCTTTGGGATATGGTGATGTCAAGGATCGTGGAAAGTTCAGTAAGTGGCATGATCTGATCGTGAAGTCACAATTCTAACCTATGTAGCTGGAATTTGGCTCGGTCTTCGTGAGCTTGGTCAACTCATTGGCTCTTCCATTCAGCTCTCACTCAACGTTGAGTCCGGAAAGAGAGGTCGTGTTGGATACACCACTTATCTGGTCCTCATCGCTCTCCAATGCCTCGGTCTTCCTCTCGCCCTTCTAGTCTCACCTCCCAACAAAGTCATCCGACCTGATGGCTCCAAGCTGCCTCACACCCAAACCAACAAGAGTATCAAGGAACAATGCAGACGATGGGGCGCTCTCATCAAGCGCAAGCAATTCTTCCTCTTGATTCCTATTCTCGTGGGTTTCAACTGGAACAGCACGTACCTCGGCATTTATCTCGTCAACTACTTTTCCGTCCGAGCTCGTGCTTTGGCGTCGTTGACTTCGGGTATTGCTGCTACTGGTGCCAATATCTTCTGGGGTTGGTTCTTCGATCTCAAGTACTTCAGCCGACCTCAGCTTGCCAGAATCACATGGGTGTTCTTGGCTGTTACCATGACTGCTCTGTTTGGTTGGCAGTTTGCTATGGAGCTGGAGTATCGTAACGCCAACCCTGCTGTTACTCTCGATTGGGACCTCCCTGGCTTCGGCCGTGGATTCGCTGTCCAAGTTCTTCTTCGGTAAGTTCACATCTACCTACATGTGAGGAAACAAGTGCTGATCAACTAGTTTCATGAACGAATCCCACTACATGTTTGTGTACTGGATCATCGGAACTTTCTTCGAGGACGTTGAAACCCTGACTCTCGCTGTTGGCTTGGTCCGATCTTTCGAATCTCTTGGATCATGCTTGGCATTTGGTGTTGGTGCTGCCAAGGTGCCATCTCTCACCAACCTCATCGTCGCCTTTGTCATGTTCTGCATCTCTCTCCCTTCAACATCTTTTGCCGTTTTCCTTGTCCCTGAGCGTCCGGCAAACCATGTACTTGACAAGGATAACGAGTCTGAGGAATAAGGTTAGACTTCATAGCTAGACTTTAAATAACATTTTGAGACTCTCCCACTGTGCATTCCAGGCTCCCGGTTTTCTAACTCGTATCTAATCGATGGTGGATCCGATCGATCGTGATCGCGATGCAGGGTCGCGGCACAAGGTCCTGCTGGATGAATGAGGAAGTCGTTCAATCACAAGCCACATGTGTTGGTCCAGAAGAGGAAGTTGGCAATCTCCAAAAGAGCGCCACGAAGCCAAGAAAATATACACACTTGCCAAGCAAGCTGCGCCGTCATATCCCTGAGGGCATAGGTCGAGGGCGGCATAGGGCTGAACATCCGAACACAGGAGACAACAGCCAAGTGTAGCATTAACTAAAAAAAAATTACAATCGAACCCCTGTCCATAGATAAAGCTATTTCAACGACGAAATCATGACCTCCTCCATATCCCTATACCGTATTGTCCCATTCTTGAACGCTCGAACTAGTCCTCGCACCTTGTGCTGTAGAGGAGTAATCTTTCTCAACTGCAGAAACTTGCGAACCAGCTGAGCAGCGATAGCGAAAGCTCCCGAAACAGCACCAATCTTGAAAAAGACAGATGGATCACCTTGCAAGGTGACATGTGGCAAGGTGAAGCAAATTGCCATCCTGAGTTTGTAAGCAATGAACCTAACAGGGTCATGATACATACCATGGAACGATGAGTGGAGATATTGCCGTGATATAAGACCGCTCCTGTTGTTTGATCTGTCCAAGAATGGCGTCGAGCTTGACGAGATCTTGTATAGCGTTGGTTTGTGAGAGTCGGGCATTCTGATCTGCTTCTGAGCCTCGGGGCTGAAGAGGCCTGGCATACAGCCCAGCAAGATCATATTGAATCTTTTCATGTCCGATATACTTAAAATATCTGTTCAAGTGGCCATTTGCGGACTGTCTGCAAGTTTCAAACTGTTTAAGCGCATCGTTGTCATGGTAGATCGTTGAAACTGGTGATAGTGTTTGAATGGTGATGCCCGCTCTCTTGATAAGAGAGCTGCCCATGTTGCCTTTGAATTTCCGAATGTTCCTCGTTCTTTGATCTACTTTCAGATTTGTCCTTGGTGGAAACAAAAGTGAAAGCGTTCCCTTTAGATACGATCCCTTGCAAGCATGAGCTGAAAATGACCAGAAAGCAGCAAGGATTCATGCATGTTGATTGGCTGTATAAAGAACAATAGCTCGTTTAGGTTCAGAATCAGGTTGAATTTGATATTCTTCTCAAGACAATGCAAAGTGGCGTCAAACTAGTCACGGAGGTGGGCTTGCGCGCATAGCGGCAGACGAGAGAATCAAGGGCATCGTTGAATAAATTTCGAGTAAATTGGGGGAATAGTCTTCGAATTCTTCCTCGGACAGGGTCCGCGTGACTCTAGACATTCTTCATTTTAATAGACCTACGAATTGCGATAGCTCCTGTAGTCGAAATGCGCTGGGCTGATAGGTCTCCCTCCACAATCACTCTGGCTCAACCAACAAGGACGTTACATGTTTGTGTGTTTGATGGATCGCGTGCATTGACCCAATGACGCGCTTGGTTCTAAGCTCTTCAAGAATTCAGACTGAATGATACTTTACAGTTTGTAAGAATGTATTCATTAGTTTTGCTATAAAGGTATCAATCAACTATCGTTCTACAAAGACCTATCGCTCGGACTTTCAGACCTCATCTGAGTCGTAACTTGCGTCTTGTTAAACTTACTCTCCCCATTAACAAGACTCTGCTCATCATTCTCACTATACTGTACATGGAACGTCCTCTGCAACTCAATACCTCCATGCTCAGGCGTGTGTATAGAGTCACCCGCATGAGAGGGTAACTCCACACGAGCACGGCTGCGACTCATAATATGTGATTTCCGTCCGTAATGTTCTCCGTAGTTGTTGTATTTGCTCGAATCGTAGGATGAGCCTCCGAGAGAGGGGAACATACGCACGAGAATCACGCGAAGAGCGGGCATGGATGCGCAGATGATACCGACGTTGATTTCAACGGTTGACCAGATGGAGATGTCTGTTTGGTCGTATGTTGGGTTGTGAGATGAGCCGAGATCGACGAGGAATTGAAGACGGATGATGCTCACGACGGTGACACTGAAAAGTTAGCTAGGCTCATTGAAATTGACGGACGACTTACAAAGTTCCGACGATAAACATGGCGGCAACACCAATCTTCTTTTTCCAATGCAGCTTGAGCTTTCGCAGATACCACATTGGAACTGCAAGCATCCATACATCCACAGCAACACTGATGGATGCATTGGCCCAGCCGATGGCAGTTGAGTTCATGCTGACACTGTTAGCCAAGCCCGACAATCACAATTGTCAACATACCATGTTCCCTTATGCTCCCCATCCCAATTCAACCAGAAATAGCTCACAGGCGTGCACTGAAACGCCGCCAAAAACATAAACAAAACACCAAAAACACTATTGAAAATGATAGTCCCCCAGAGCAACTTTTGCGCCGTACCCGGAAAGATCCTCAGGTAAAAGAACAACAATGACGTCTTGAGCAGCGAGACCTGGGCAAAGTAGAATATCTCGAGTAACCAAAAGTAAAACCCAAACTGTGTTATGTCATCAAACTCTAGCGTCCAGATATCGCGGCCTTCTCCGTGTCCGGCGGTCCCGTGGATGTTCATGGCTGTGGAGGGCATGCCGATGAAGAGCGTGAGGACGATGAAGAGGTCGTCGAGGCCGAGTTCGGTCTTGGTGAAGAAGAATTTGGACCAGAGACGGAGGGCGGTTGCGACGCCGGATATTACGCCGAGAACGATCGTGACGTTGATGAAGATGGGGGTCTTGTCTCGCACGGGGACTTCGCAGTAGGTGTATGTCATGTTGAGCGTTGCTATCAATGTTAGGGACAGGCGACGTCAGAGGAGGGTCGACGTACTCAGACTATCTCTGACGTGACATGCTTGGGCGGCGCATGCCTCTGCTGTCTGGATGATGACTTGGGTCGAGCACACGCACTTCACATCGCTCGATCTGCACTCCGACTTTGTGATGGCATCCTCATAACAAGGAGCCTGCGACATTAGCACAAACAACCAAATTGACGGGGCGAACTCACTGCGCAAGCAGGCAGATTGGTCAACAACTCCTTCGTTGCATCCGCTGCCGCTACCAGGGGCACAAAGGCCACCAGAAAAGGCACAATCCACTTCATGTTGATCGACAAACGTTTTACAAGGAGGACGACCCGCGTGTGCGGACCCCAGGGGATATTTAACAGATTTCCTCTGGGTGAGATCTAGGGGTTCTCTTTTTGAACCTTGACCTTACAGTCATCGTCTCAAGGGATCAGCGCAACCCCACCGCGTTCGTCCCGTCAATTTGGGAGGAAGTTAAAACATGGATGATCCGGATTCTTCCAGATACAGCGTCACATCGCCTACAGGTTTGTCCCTGCAGGGGCTAATAATTTTAGTGTATTAATTGGCGCAAGCTCAGTTTGTCTAGAGTATCTCGTAATATGGACTGTCACTGGGTGGTAATTTAGTTTGGGCCGAAATATCAGGTACCGCACTAATCGGCATGGGACTGCCGGGCTTGGGTAACCTCCTTTTCGTGAGAAAAAGACCGGAGTTTCAAGTCGTGGATGAGGTCCCAATTCTGGAAGGTCGTCTCAAGGGTTAGTCTAGAGCAAAGGATCCTTGACACTTCAAATCGTCGCCTTGGCATGTGCCAACGGCCCGATCCCTGTCTCGCCAAGGATTGGTTGGTCTGTAGACGAAGATCATCTCAAGATTTGCTCTGAATGTGAGAATGGAAATGATCAGCATATCACTCGGTTGAGCATGTTAGAGGCGCTCGACTTCGAGTCAGCCAAATGCATGATTCTGCAACGGAAATCGTTCCGTAACAACGCCCCCTTTATTCCTGAGCCTGATAAAACTCGGGTTAGCTTGGTCCGATCCTACCCCAGGTTTCAGCTCAACGCGGCAATTCAACCGAAGACGAGGAAATTTCCAAAAGCTTATCAGAAGAAGAAAACATTACCCCGAGCGCCCGGTTGACGGTCTATTCTCACATGTAATTTGATAGCTTCGGACGATTGAACAGAATGGGTTCGCTCTCGAGAAACAAGGTTCTCGTACTATGGTCGCGTTTTGCGGAGGTGACCCATTTCCCATCCTCGCCTCGGTGAAGCTATTGGAGCTAGAAGCCAAGACCTGTCCAGACCGCTAGCCTAGCTAGTCATGATCCTAGGGCTGTTACGCCAACGGTCACTAAGGAATCTGGCAGAAAGCGTTCTGTCATCGGCCGGGTAGTTGACTTGGCAATGATTAATGCTCTCTCCACTTGGTAGTCATCATTTGACTATAATTATGCCCGTGGTTTGTTGGCTTTAATGTTTTGTCGGCCTCCATCGACATGGGTCACTTGCATATACCCTTGCTATCGCGTCGTCTCTCATTAGAAATGCAACCTTGACTGATGCAATGTCCACCCCTGATTGTTTGACAACGTGTTCTAGATTGCTTGCAGATGTTCCATGTGGTCAAAACCCCCCTGCGTCTGTCAGTGGCGATGAAGCAGATCTGGTATGCATCTCGCGTGGCGTTGACATGTTGCGCAAAGTGTTCGCTGTTATTCCACCTTTTAAGCTACTCTCAATGATCTACCGAAAAGCTTTGGCCTCAAAAATGCGCAGATTGTTCCTTTATGAAGTAACTTGTCCGGGTGGGTAAGAAGCATATCGCCGCGGGTAGCAGATCCCCTCGCAACCTAACGAGTCTGAATGTCTCTTTGGTTGCATTGAAGATTGGCGCAATACAGCACATGATATTGTCGTTTCAATGCAACGATAAGGTTACCAGTTCCAGTGATCGAGTCATGAAGGCGATGAATACCGCTTGCATTGAACAGGACCCAAGCTCGACTTTGACATCGTGAAGAATTAAGCAATAGTCACCAGGGCATTTGCGAATTTTACAGGGACTATTAATAAACCCATACGGGTACTTGACAGCTGCGTTCCGATTCGTCGTATAGTCAATCTAGTGAATTGATACCGTGGGCGGATAGTCCGTTACCATCCAGCTGATCACCCTGTCCACAATCGGCCGTATTCCATCCAATCCCGGAGACTGTGCACTATTCTTCATTGTGTTATGCTTAATACATATAGGCTGAACTCGATTTCTTTGTCGAGAACTCCCATAGCTTTCGTCCAGTCTTTTGACAGGTGCCCAGGACCTTATCAGCCTCTCTCCGATGGCCACGATCCTTATCTTGGTTCAGGGGGGACTGCCAGCACACACGGGACATCAGGGCTCTGTTCGTGGGGGGGGATCTGTAATGGTTGTTCTGAAGCTTTTTTGTTTCTATCTTCTGACATGGTATTTCCTCCAGCTTGAGCATTTTCGTTGGTAATGAGATGAATATATTCGTTAAACCTTCTTGCTTCTTCGCTATGAGTTTTCAACATTATGTTCAATGGTAGCTCTCGGGCCACAATAGAGATTAGTTCTGCTTCTCAAACTATTTAACAAGTCATCTAGAATCTGCCAGTCATTGTCGTCGCTTTACTGGAGAAATGATTTCGTATCATTCTTCAAATCAGGCTGGAGGTATATGCTCCATTTGGAAGCGGTCCGTAAACTATCCATAGATAATTTCAGATGGAGATACCAACTCAAATGGGAAGTCTAGTCAGGATGTAAGTATGATATTGCCTCTGGTTATTGTCAAGGATGCTTATGCCCAGCCGGACAAGGAGGACTTGGCCGTGTCAACACTGGAAGCCTCCCCGGGCCGCCACGTGGGTCCCGATCGTGGGGAAGCGCCAATGCTTAGGTTCCGGGTAGGTATCGCATTTTATCATTGAGTTATGTTATCGATAGTCGAATGAAATGTGCGTGAGTGAACTGGAAGATATCTGAGTTGCTGGACAGGCTTGTGAGGATGTGATGGCAATTGCTTCATTGACCTACCCTGAAGATGAAATAATGACGTCAGATTCAATCGTTACTTCACACATCAAAAGCTCAATA